TATGTCAGTAGGAGAATGACATGGCTAGCCGTGAGTGCCAGGACGTGGGGTGTGGGGGGCTGCCTTTTGTTTTCTCTTTCTCAGAATACACTGGGCACACTGTAAGTCCTCCACTGAAGGTCATGGTGGTGTTTCTTCATCATCATTACCTAGAGATGGAGGAGAAGGATCAAATAGTAACAACGGTAATGTCTGGCCAGAGGTACAATACGATAATAACATAAATCTCAGTGACAGAGGATCTGTAAGAATTTGGCCGTGTTCAGCGATATTAGTAGATGAAATGGCCAAGGACCATTTCTGGGGGCACCAGGGTCTGAAAGAAATAGGTTATTCCCGGAACCAGACAGAGTTGGATGTGAGTCCAGGCTGCACTCATTTTTGACTATGTGGACAAGGTTTAAGTGCAAGTATCTTTCTGCTCTTTTGTCTGTAAAATAAAGAGAAGGCTGTGGGGATTCAAGACAGTAGAGATGAAAGGTTGTAAAGATTAGCTACTGTGACTGGACAAAGCAGAAACTTCAGCCAGTGACTGCTAGCCTTTATAATGAAATATAAGTACCCATGGTTTTATCCTAAAATGACCCTACCCTGCACATGGAGGAGGTTCAGCGTTGCGGCAGCATCTCCTGAAAGAGTTTTGAGGCCAGAAACAGTGCCCCCAGCGGCAGGATTATTTTGGAGGCTCAACTTCTGGAGCCAGAATACCTGAACTACTTAGTTCTGTGGCTTTGAACAAGTGGTTTCCCTCTCTAAAGCCTCCATCTCTGTACCTACAAAATGGAGATCATCATTAATAATATATAACCTATAAATATAATATATAACAATACCAACCTTACAGGGGTGTTGCAAGCATCAGTTTCTGTGAGATAATTAGAATAAGGTGCTAAGTACAGAGGCAGGCGCCTGTATAATAAATTATATATAAAATATATAAGATATGTAAAATAATAATTTATGTAACCATGACTTCAAAAACTTTGACATCTTGTTAGCTTTCTGAAGAGCAGGACTGCTCTCAGCTAACACGGATGCACAGTCACCACACAGTAGCCCCTGAGTTAGAGTCTCATGTGAACCTATGAATTAGCATCGTTATATCAAAGATAAAGAAAGGGAGGCAACTGGGTTAAGTCACTTGCACGAGTAGATGACAATTCCAAGGTAATATCTATACTGTGTTCAGAACCCAGTCTCCGAAGTCAGACTTCTTGAGTTTGAGCCTGGTTCCCACGCATCAGTGACATAGCTGCCAATCACTCTCTGTTGCCTTTTTGCTGGTATGTAAACCTTTGGGGGACAGGGAGGAGAAGAGAGTTCTACATGATAATTTCTCCTTCACAGGGCTATTGTGAAGATCAGCTGAGGACAATGACTGGAATATAAGAATGGCCAATTAGACATTAGCTAATTGTTGGGTTAACAGGTCTTTGCATTTCCTTTCTAGTCTTTAACCAGGTCTAACCTGGCTTTGATGGTGGTGGTGCTACCGAGACACTTACTCCCTGAAACAGGCTCAGGAATGACAAAAGAGCAAAATTTTCTAAGCAGAACAAAACAGAATCACCAAGGATACTGGGGGTATTCAGCCTCTAGCACTGAAGAAAAGGTTTTCCTGAAATGTTGATGTATAGGAAAAAGCTAAAATGTTCCCTCCAACCTTCAGACTTGTGGAATTTCAGCCAGTGAGTGGACACTGAGCGACACTGGATGGGATAGATTTACTCAAAGAGAGACCCTTGGCATGGTTGGAGCTCATACGTGAATTAATGGGCTTTCTTGGGTAGATGTGAGACTCTTCCAATTGGAAGTGATCATAAGTCACCCAAAATGGGATAGTGTAGGGTTTCCCGAAGCAAGAAAGTAGTTGGCTATATGAACGTCAAGGTACTTTTAACAGCCATTAATCTAGGAATGGAATATTTTAGGAAGTAGTCTAAATTTTACTCATTTTTTTTCTCTTTCAGAATTGATTTCCCATTTACACCCTCCGGTTCCAGGTGGGGAAATGTCTCTTCATTTGTTTGCATCTCAAATGTTAGCCCCAACTCATGAAACAATATTATATTCCTGAAAGTTCCTTGCATTTTTCTGACATTTTATTCTTTCCTTTGCTATCTTTCTGGCACAAAAGGCCCCCATGATCATGGCAGCCAAATCATATATTTGAAGATCCAGTTCAGTGAGCTTTCCAAGAGTTTCTCTCCTGCCCCTCCAGAAAAGTATTCTCTTCTCCATTGGGACTAACACTAGCAATTGTGGGTTTTCTTGTTTGTTAGTTACTTTTAACAGCCTTATATGGAGAAGTATAATCTACATACCATAAAATTCTCCCATTTAAAATATACCACTTGATGATTTTTAGTAAATTTACAGAGTGGTGTAGACATCACCACAATCCAATTCTAGAACATTTCCATCACCCCAAGAAGATCCCTTGTACCCATTTGCCATCACCCCCCAATTCCCATCCCCAGGCACAGGCAACAACTAGTCTACGTTCTGTCTCTAGTGGTTGGTCTTTTCTGGACTTTTCGTACAAACCGAATCATACATGTGATATTTTGCATCTGTTTTTTAAGTTAAAAAGTTAATCATGGAACTCATTAGGGCTCACTGTAGATAACTTTGCCTCGGTGTCTCAATTCTTGGAAGAGCTGAACCATAACCACATGTAGACAGCTGGTACTCAGTTTTAACCTATAGCTCTCCTGAAATTGGGAGTTTCAAGAGAGACATAAAGATGTGGGAACACTTTGTGTGGATAGTCAAGCCAGTGAAAGAGAGACTTTGGTTACCAAAATGTTGATTGTTTTTTAAACTATTTTAATCAGCAATTATTTATTTGGGGTTGAAACAACATAGCTTGGAGTACATAGTGGGAAAACGTGGCCCATCAGCCCTTTTGGTTTTGGGCTCAGAAGCAAGCTATTTTCAGAGCAGTGAATAGCAAAGTTTCTCTGTGTACAGAAATCACGTGCTCAGGACCAAAGCTGACCTTATGGGGGAGCCTAATGACAGTACCCAGTTCATTGGAATGAGGTAAAGATATCATTAGGTGTTAGTGTCTGTAAATTGTGCACAATATGTCCAGCACAGAGTAAGCTATATAAGAGCTTATTATATAAATAATAACTAATTAATAAACAATGAACATAGTCATAACTAATGCCAAGACACAAAAACTGTCAAATAATAATTTAAAATATTAAATCATAAAATATTATAATAACACAGTTAAATCATAAAATAATAAAAATGCTAACATAATTGTTAAAAAATAAGAACATTATTATTAAATAATAAATATTAATAATGTATATCAATAAATAATGAATAATCGCTAAATAGTAAAAATAAATGAATCTCGTGTCCAAATTATTTCAGGCTTATGAAGGGGCAACCAATATTTATTAAGTTTCCATTATGTACCAGTCTCTATCAGTTGCCACCATGGGTCTAGCATTAAACAGGATACATGTGGTCATTTCTGACAAACGAGACAGACTCTGAACAAATCATTACATGTTAAATAAATACAAGAAAAGGGAATTTGTAAGGAAGTTCAGGACAAGTGGATCTAGTGTAGTCTGGACGTTCAAGACAGTTCCACGGAGATTCACATTTAGGCTGAACTTAAGAAGAGGGTAAACAGGCCAAGGGGTGTGGCATTCCCACTAAGTGCAGAAGATCACATCTGTAAATCCCCAAGGCGAGAAAGATGCTGGAACACTCAAGACACCTTACAAGGCTTGAGCAGAGAGAGCACAAGGAAGGGTGGTCCAAGGTGAGGCTGGAGGTGTATTTGGGAACCAGGTCAGGTAACGTATCATAAGCCATTTACATGCTATTTCTTATCCTAAAAGCAATGGGATATTAACAGGTTAGTGGTAGGGTCGGGTTAGTATTTAAGAATGAAAGTTCTCAGGGCAAGCTTGGTGGTGGCATAGTGGTTAAGTTTGCATGCTCCGCTTTGGCGGCCTGGGGTTCACAGGTTCAGATCCGGGGGCGGGGGGTGGGGTGAGCGATGCACTGCTTGTCAAGCCATGCTGTGGCGGCATCCCATACAAAGTAGAGGAAGATGGGCATGGATGTTAGCCAAGGGCCAATCTTCCTCGGCAAAAACAGACGGGACAAATAGGTTGGAACCTTCCAGAAAAAATTATTGCCATAGTCAAGGCAAGACACGATGCTGGAGGGTAACAAAGAGTGTGTAGGGAAGTGGATAGCTTTGAGAGATAACTTAGGGACTAACTTTGGCAGGCTAAGAAAATTATTTTTCTAGGAGAGAGGGAGAAAGGAGACTATAAGAAAGACTCCAGAATTAAGACTCGGCTTCAGAGATCGAGTGTACAGTCGCTAGAGGACTTACATGAAAAAGAAGCCAGCAACTCCAGTCTGTTTGCAGCTCTGGGTTGAAATAAGGCTTCTTTTGATATACTGTTGTATTTTGTGCCATGCACAGGGAAGGCAGTTAGCGAGACCAGCCACATGTGGATGTGGGGGAAGTAGGTGAAGAAGCATGACATTGATAATTACGATGGACATGAGAAAGTCAATTCCCTTTGTAAGCTTGCCCCATATTCAGCAATTTGTTTTTTTCCAGAGTTGGTTTCCAGTTCTTGCGTCTTTCCATTTATGTATGGTGACGTAATCCACTACAACTGTATCTCCACCCACAGCGATTATGACTGGTGTTCTCTTGATAGGAAATTCCAAGGCAGGTGGAGGTACTGCACAGGGCAAGGTGAGCATTCCCATGATGGGCTGTCTTGGGTGCCTAGGGTCCAAGAAGCAATTTATAGCAGCTGGCTACATGATTTTTGGGGTCAGATAAACCTGAGTCCAAATCTTGACTTTTCTACGTGTTTTAACTACCGCTTGGAAAACAGTTTGGTATAATAGAAAAAGCACGTGCTGTTAGTTTAGCAATGGTTAATTGTAAGACCTTCTATGTTCATATTTCTCCTTCGGCTCCTCCCTTTCTCTGCAGATCCCCCCGTGTGTATCTTCCCTTTCTCCTTCAGAAATAAACTCTTTCGCAAATGCACCAAGGAAGGCTATATTTTGAATCGGAGTTGGTGTTCTTTGACAAACGATTATGACAAAGATAGAAAATGGAAGCAATGCTCTCCTCACGAGTAAGTTGACTGGCGAAGAATGGAGTGGGGGTCTTATAGATCTCTTAAAGTGGGGACCTCTGGTTTAATGGAAAGGGAAGCTTGGGGTTTGGATTATCGACTGATGGCTTAGGTCAGGGGTCAGCAAACGTTTCCTGTAAAGGGCCCAATAGTGAGTATTTTAGGCTTTGCAAGCTATATGGTCTCTTATATACTCAACTCTTCCTTGTAGCACAAAAACAGCCACAGGCATTTAAAAAAAAAACACCAAATGCATGTGGCTGTGTTCCAATAAAACTTTATTTATAGACCCTGAAATTTGAATCTAATATAATTTAATTTTAATTAATAATAATTTGATATAATTTCCAGGTGTTACAAAATATTAGTCACCTTTCGGATTTTGGTTTTTGTCAACCATTTAAAAAGGAAGAAACCGTTAGATACAAAAAAAGATGGTAGGTTGGATTTGGCTTCTGAACTCTGGTTTCCTGGCCCTTGGTTTGGGTGGATGGTTTTCCTTGACCCCCATTGGATGAAGAAATGAGATTAGTTTCCACTGAAAAGATGTGGGAAGGAGAAAAGCATAGTCAACAGACATTGGAGAGTTCACCCATCTCTATGCTCAAATTGTAGTGAGGATTTTATTGAGTGTGCAATAGTGTCTCATATAACCTTCACAATGACCTTGGAAAGGGATTATAAGTGTCGTTATGCCCATAGAGAAATGAGGAGAATAAGACTTGGGAGGTTAGGCCATGCCCGAACCCAGTGTCAAATCCCATCATCTTAATGAAGCTTCCTGCAGAGACCACTCACTAACCGCTTCCATCACATGAGCCCTGACTATAGGCTCTATTATTAGCTTTCCACTCATTATCTATCTTCCCAACAAAACTGCCATTTTATGGATGTGAAAATGGACATTGAGATCCTGGTTGTCTAAGCCAATCAGCTAGTAAGAAATGAAGCCCCAAACCTAGCCCAGACTTTGTAGTGGCTAAAGTCGGTATTCATTTCTACCCCATGGCTCTATGCATTTGTCAAAACTCATAAAACCATTAATTTGGAAATGCTTTTGGGGTCATTGCCCACAACATCAGTGATGCATAAAGACCCATGTGGAGCATTTCATTTGAATCTAGGCTGAGTAAATTGCTTTTTCCCTATCCACATTGTAACTCTTTCTTGTTGGGCTTCCAGAAGAGTCACAGCCGTATTTGCGACCCAGACATAGCAATTGTGTTGTTTTATACATGCAAGGGGGCCCATTTTTTCCCCTAACTGACCTTTATGATCCTTGAACCTTCTGTGGAGCTCAACCAGTAGTTATTAATTCCTAAGTTGATCTGCAGATTGATTCTTGGTGAAACACCGGGAAGGATATGTGGTTTCCACACTTGGCTTTCAATTGCCTGTTACTCACCTACAGCTTTTTATTACCTTATAATAGGGTATCAGTGATGCTTAGCTATAGTCATCCAATCCGTTGTTTGTATAGTTACTGTTTCTGAGACCTCTCAATTTCCTGAAACACTGAACTAGCTAGTGTATGCCCCTTCCCTGGGATACCATCCCAATTCAATTCTAGTGCGAGTTTTTTCTTTTTCTTTTTTTTTTTATTGCAGTAACATTGGTTTATAACATTGCAAAAATTTCAGGTGTACATCATTGTACTTCTATTTCTGCATGGACTACATCATGTTCACCACCAAAATACTAATTACAACCCATCACCACACACATGTACCGAATTATCCCTTTCACCCTCCACCCTCCCCCCTTCCCCTCTGGTAACCACCAATCCAATCTCTGTGTTTTAACAATTGGACCACCACCTTGCACCAGGGGCTGTGTGTTCTTTACCTACTACCAGTGGTCCGTCGTCCTTTCCATCACAGGTAGGGAGTGATCCAGCTCCAAATTCCCATCTTATGCCTGCTTTCCTGGACCACTCCAAGTCCTGTCATAGTTTGGGTTCTCAGAAAGAGATGTTCATCTCTGTCTCCTTTCTTCCCTCCTTCCTTTTTTTTTGACTGCCTTGGTCCAGAAAGTTTAAGACAGCTAATAAAAATAACTAGCTTTACTGTAATAAGATTAATAGATTAAAAATTAAGGAGTAATAGAGCAAGAGATAAAGTTAGCACTGTACAGGCTGTATGATCAGACTGTTCAATTGGAGCTGAGCTTCCTAGCAGCCAAGTAAATAAAATACATGTTTAGTTCCACAAATGACATTGTCCATAATATTGAAAACCTACTTTCAAGAGAAGACTCTCAGAGGGGTTTATCACTCCCCTTCACAAGAGATGTTCAGTTTTTATGTGTGAAAATAAACTTTCGCTTACCCTGTCTTCCTACACCCCTACTACCTTTCTGCTTTGAGAGGCCATACTGGGCAATAGCTTAAAAATATAACCTCTGGAGCCAAAGGGCTAGTTACTAAATCATCATTTACATCACCTCTATGATCCTGCTTTCTTATCTATAAAATGGGCATTTTATAGGTAACCATTCATCACCATTTATTGTGGTTAAGAAGATGGGCATGTTAATTGGACTTACCTCGTAGGGTGGTTGTGAAGATCAAATCCATTAGATTTTATAAAACACTCAGAAAAATGCCTAATACAGAGTAAGTAGAAGACTGTGTTTGCATTTAAGGTGGAGTCCATAGCCATGTAAAATAAAAGATAATATTAATTAGAAGTAAGTGAAAAATATGAAAGGATGTTTGGGATGTAGAATGGAGACTGCCCTAAGACAGAACACAGAGGCTTCACACCTGCTACAGATGAGCCAGGGTTTGGAAATCCTGAACTATCCCTCTCCATATATAGCCATGCCCTTTGACCTAGCAGTTTCCATTCTATGGATATATTCTAAAGAAAACACTGGACAACTGCACAAATATGTACGAAAAGCGATGGTCCTCACAGTGACCAAAAACAGTTAATATAGCCATCAGTTATAATCGAATGAGGATAGGCACGGTACAATACAGTACTAAAAATAGACGTGTAGGTTGATATTTAGTGACATGAAAAATGCTCAAGATATAACCTTATATTAGAAGGTAGACAACTTTAAGAACAAAATTTTTAAAACACTCGCAAATATTTATGTTATAAATCTAGAGAGAAGGCACTAGGTTGGTATGAGGAAACATTAACAATGGTCACATTTGCACTGGATTGTTGGCAAGTTCCACACTCTTAGTATATCTTTACATACTGTCTAATATTTGTAACTGTATGCATGCACTACTTTTATTTTTTAAATATTTATTTTGATTTACACAAGTAATATGTGAATAAATGCCCATTTAAACATTGAAGCAACACATGAGTAGAGGGAGTAAAATATTATTAGTCCTTCTTCCCTTTCTTTTCTCTTCCACGGCAGAAAACACAACTAACAGTTCAGCCTGTAGTCTTCCAGGTTTATTCTATGCATTTGTACAAATATAAATTTTTTAAAGTCTTTTTAAATAAAAATGAATTCTACTATCCTCTTCGTCCTCTGGCTTGATCTTCACTTAAATGTATACATTATAGACATTTTTCCATGTTAATGCATAAATCTACCTCACCTTTCTTCGTGCTTTTACCAAATTTCCAAATATGGATATACCATTCCGTTATTAAACTATAATTTGATTGTTTTTAATATTTTGATATTACCATGACTAAATGGATACCTTCTACATTGATTTTTGAGTAAGCATGTGAGGTTTCTTATTCGTATTATTAGAAGAGCTGAGTGAAATCACTGAGTTAAAGGTTATGTACATGTGAAGTGTGTGTGTATGTGTGTGTGTTAAATTTTAAGTGATTCAAATGATCCTCAGTCAACATTATGAGACTGCCTGTTTTTAACAACTTCGTTAGCACTGAAAATTATCAATTTAATAAATTTGTTCAAATAATGGACTACATAACTTATGTTAAAATAATCAAATAAATTAAAATAATCAATTAATAAAGTAATCAATCATGGCGTAGTGAATTTGAGAGTGAGCGAACGAGTTACACCTTCCTTAGGCCACTGATGGATCTCTGATGCTCCTTTATCGTTTTCCTGTTTCACTTACGCTATTTAGTTCTTAGGGGTGGACCAGATCTTCCATCAGGGAGGAAAAAGGATTATCCCATCATGGAGGGTGACACAGACTGTAATACTGATCCCAACCTCTGTTTTCCTTCCACAGTCTTTAGATATGTCTTGGTGTTCATGAAGGGACAGGAGTTATAGGATTCACCAGCTGCCTCTCAAAATATATCCTTCACCTGATCCTTCTGACCAATAAAGATTTGAGCTCTCTTCCACGTGGATGACTCCTTTTCTTGAAAAAAAGCACAGTCAAAGTTCAGTAGTGATCAATACAATGCTGACCATGGTGGGCTGGTGAACCAGTAGGTTACTTTGGGGGAAGAACTTGCATTCAAATCAAGATGCTGATGAATTGCTAACAGTATAACCTTTGGCAAGTTAACTAAATTCTCAGAAAAACTAGGGCTTCCCCTCTCACAATCTTTAAATTTTTAAACAAGAGTATAATATACACTTTAAAATTTTTTTTGAGGTAAAATTCATGACATACAATTAACTAAGCTAAAGTGAACAGTTCAGTAGCATTTAGTACAGTCACAATGTTGTGTAACCACGGCCTCTATTTAGTTCCAAAACATTTTCATCACCCCCAAAAGGAAACCTCGCACCCATTGATCAGTCATTCCCTAATCCTTCATCTTCCCGGCCCCTGGCAACCACTAATCTTCTTTCTATCTCTATGGATTGGCTTATTCTAGATATTTCATATAAGTGGAATCAGACAATATGTGACCTTTTGTGTCTGGCTTATTTCACTCAGCATAATGTTTTCGAGGTTCATGCGTGTGCCAGTGCTTCATTTCTTTTTCATGACTGAGTAATATTCCTTTGCACGACTACACGACATTTTGTTTATCCATTAATATGTGTATTTTATAAAGTGCGTATGTTATGTCTGTAGAGCTAAGTGAATTTTCACAAACTAAACACTCTATGTAACTGAAAAACATATTAAGAAACAGTTAATTTCCAGCCCTGCTTCATGCCTCCTTCCACATACTTCCCACTAAGGTTAACCACAGGCCTGATTTCTGGCATCATAGATTAGTTTTGTCTCTTTTTGTATGTCATATAAGTTGAATCATGTCCTTGTGTCTGGCTTCTGTCACTCAATATTTTGTGGGTGTGATTCATCCATATTGTTGTGTGTAGGTGTAGACCCTTCGTTCTCATCGATGTATAACATTCCACTGTGTGAATGCACCACAAGTTATTCATCCGTGTTACTCTCGATAATCATTAGGGTGGTCTCCATGTGGGAACGTTATGGACAGCACTACTACCAATATTCTATTACATGCCTGTGGCAAATGTATATACTAAGATAAGAATTGCTGAGTCACAAAGTATAAGTATGTCTAACTGTAGTAGTGACTAACAAACCCTCAGACCATGGAACCAGGAAGATAACTGAGGATTTAGCATATTAACCTATACCCCTGGGCATGGACTCACGACCCAATCAGAGTCATGATTCTTCTAACCGGTAATGGAGGTCAGGGAAGAATTTTCTCTGTGTTAGCTAAACTGTCGGGAGGTCAAATGGAGATGCTTAAGCCTTGTTCCCTACCACGAGGCAAAAGCTTGCATGCAGTAGAAGAGAATGAAGTGGACAGTTCTTCCTCCACTTATCTGGAATTCTGCCTCTGCCTTTCCCTTGGTTTCATCATTTGAACCAATAAAGTCTCCCTTCTTGCTTAAGTTAATTCTATAAGCTACATCCGTTAATTCTATAAGTCCCATTCCAAGCCTTCTCAGGATCTTCTGCACAAATCACACTTCATATCAAGAGGCAAATTCCCGTGAATGGGCTGAAGTGAGAGATTGCAGGAGTTTACGAGCTCCAATCAGATGACCCCATTTCAGAGGACCATATTAGCATTGATCCAGTGCAACAGTTATCAACATTTGACCTGTGGATGCCTCTACAATCTTAAAAATTGTTGATGTCCCTGAAGACCTTTTTTTTTATGTGTTATATCTCTGGGTATTTACCATATTAGAAATTTAAACTGAGAAAAATTTAAAACACATTCTTATACACAGGCACATATCTTGTCAGTAATCAGAGCAATGATGTCATCACACATGTAGCCTCTGGAAAACTCCACTGCACACTTATGAGGGAATAAAACTTAAAAGGGCAAATAATGCTTAGTGTTATTATGAAAATAGTGTTGACCTTGTCGACCTCATGAAAGAGTTTCTTCAGGATCCTGGGACATAATATCTAATAAAAGATGTTTAGTCTTGAATAACAACAACTAACACTCATATTTCAACATGGCAGGTGACGTTCAAAGTGTTTTATATGGATTACCTCATTTAATCCTTTCGAAAACTTTGTGCAATAAGTACTATGATCATTCTCACTTTCTAAAAAATAAAAATAAGACATAAAGAGGTTCTAAAACTTGTTGATGATCACATAGCCAGTAATTAGTAGATCTAGGTGTATAAATCTAAGAATGAAGGTTCTAGTGCCTTAACTCTTATCTAGTACAGCATTTCCTTTCCATACTTTCTAACAGAGGATGGTATTCCCGGTTCCTGAATTTACAAGTTTAGTGGTTTCTGGCAATTTGCTTAACCTCTGGTGAGTCTTGGTTTTCTCAACTGTAAAATGGGCATACTGTCAACTTTTCAATCTTGATATAAGTAAAATACAGTGAGAAATTTGAAATTTGACTGAAGCCACACACAATAACTGTAGATAAATTTTCAAAGAAAGTATGAAAACTTTGAAAAGAACTAAATTAGAGTTAAAGGTAAATTAGAATTGTGGACTGGGGCATCAGCAAGATGGCCAAATGAGACATCTCTCACTTATATCCCTCCCTCAATAACAACAATTTGGCATCAATCCATGGACAAGTGCTTTTGTGGGAGATGTGGGACCTAGGTAGGAGTTTGTGAAACCCCAGTGCAGTCCAAGGACAAGGAGATCATTTTGAGAAGGCAGGCTCACACCCAGGAGGCTGACCCACCAACTGTGGTCCCTACTATAGACCTGGAAACAGCTCCATACCCCTGAATACTCAACTACAGCGCCCTTTGACTTCGGTTCTGTAATAACCACCGTATGCCAAGGGATGTGGGAGGAGTCTTGCCCACCCATGTGTCAACTTAAAAGCAAATTCTCCTATTATTTTATCCTCAAACTGAGTTTAATCAGGAATATCCAAAAGAATTGCAATTCAGGATGTGATGCTATGGCAAGCTGTAGTCAAATCCAGAAAACAAAGGAGGGGAGCTGCTTTTAAGGAGAAAAAGGGGGAGCAGGGAAGGACTGTTCTAAATGAAAGTCCACTGGGGGAAAGTGACAGTTCAGGGCAGCAATGGCTTCTCATTGGCTGAGCTGTGGCATTTCTCATTGGCTGAGCTGTGGTGTTTCTCATTGGCTGAGTTGCAGCATTTCTCATTGGCTGAGCTGTGGCATTTCTCATTGGCTGAGCTGCAGCCTTTCTCATTGGCTGGGCTGTTGCCTGGTGGGGAGAGAAATCTTCCTTCAGTAGTAAAGGAGTCTTACTTCCTGTCCAAGATGCCAGCATCTGTCCTTCCTGGTTGGTGTAATTGACCATGTGTGATACTGTGTGAGAGCTCCTTCTACAGGCCTTCCCGACTCCATTTTAGTTAAGATTTGTTTTACTAACTTCCACACATGTGTAGGGCAATAGGCATACAGACTTTGTTCCCTGTGTGGACCCTACAGTGTCCGGTAAACTGGCTCCAGCCCCTCTTGGCATCAGGGTCCCCTGGAAAACAGTGACTTAGACATTCACATACAAGAAATCTTTTGTGGAAGTCCAGGAGTCCAGCAGGGAAGTTCTAGCACACTGTAGGAACCAAAACAAAAAAACCACACACACAATTTGGATGCCTTGGAAAGGATAAGAGCAGTAGTTTGATGTTCCCCGCATCACCCCTTCCCTGAGGTGGCACAGCTCAGTGCCAAGAGAGACTTTCTTGGAGTGGTTTCTCCCAAGGGGGAGAGTGAAAGCATGTGAGTGAGTATCCAGCTTCCTCAGCTGTGCAGGACACTGCCAAAGAGGCCCATTATTTTCTCACCCCCTCCAGAGGACTGAATCATGGGCTGCAAGATTGGAGGAGGGCAAACAGCTGGGAGAACAGTGTCCAGGATTTGGAAAAGAAGGTATCCAAGGGATGCAGATCCCACTAACCACATCAGGGACCCATTGGGAGGCACACTGAAAGGGTGCAGAGACGGGATGGAGGCACAGGATGTGGTTATGGCAGGTAGCAGAGGATTGTGGGAAAGCCCTTGTGAGAAAGCAGAGGTCCTTGATCACTGAAAGATTCACATAGCTGCTACCCAGTGCTGCACATGGGATCTCTGTAAATTTGGTAAAACAATTACAAAATATCCTTTTGGGTCTCGAAAATCTACAGTACTCTGTGTATTGATGACAACCGCACAATGTAATTAAGGTTAATGAGGTGGGGAGCGGAGTTTGATACTTTATTCTATCTCTCAGATGCCTGAACATTCTGTTCAGAGCAGAGATGGGACTCCATCTGCAAGTAGCATTAAATGGCCCATCACTGATGCCCTGGGGGCAAAGGATGGCCTCAGGCCTTCTGTCCATTCCACCCACTCCCTGCTCAAATATTTGCACTCACCTCGACTTCTGTAAGAATATCTGCAGATTCTGGGGCTGGGGCAAGGCTGTTGGTGTGAAAAGCTATACAAATATCTCTGGATTTCTTTCAGATGCAACAGGTTTGTGTGTTAGGTTTTGTATGTGTGGTCAGAGGATCATACAGAATAGGAGAGAAATTATAAATTCTGTGTTGAGAGCTTGAATCTGTCCTCCCTTCCTGGCACCTTAAACAGCCTAGAATCCTAGACCTCCACCCAAGCCATGTGAGATTCTGAGTGGTGTTAGACAACTTTGGCCTTGCCTAATGCAAGTGATGGACATCAACTGATAGGGAAGACTCCCGTAGCTCTGGAAGGACCAGTGTAGCATGGAATCAAAGAGCACTCTATGGGTTTCCAAGGCTGCTGTAACAAATGACTACAAACTTAGTGGCTCAAAACAACAGAAAAGTATTCTTTCTCAGTTTTGGAGCCAGAAGTCCAAAATCAAGGTGTTGGCAGGAATGTGCTCCCTCTGAAAGCTCTAGAAGAGGAGCTTCCTTTCCTTTTCCTACTTTTGGTGGCTCCAGGCATTCCTTGGCTTGTTGCTGCA